GCGATGCAGAAGGTGCCTTTAATATCACTGTGCAGCGGAGGATTTTTGGAAATGAAACCAAATTTAGGGAGTATTTTAGACTTTCTACAGATCTTTTTGAATTCGTGTTGAGTTTTATAAAGGACATAATTTCCAAGAAACCTAAAAATAAAGTCATGATGTCATCTGTATGTGTGAATTTGTCACTCATTGTTTTAAAATTAATAAGTATATAGTCTCCGCACACGCCGACGATTCCGCTGATATCAAACTTAACAGATATCAACCGACTCTTCGCGACAAATCAGCGGCATGACGCCGTCCTGTTCAGCTAAGCAGATTCAAGAAAACCATTCCCATTTAAATACTCTGGTTGGATAAAATCGTCAAAACGCGACGGTTGACGGACTGTCCGCTCACCGCGACGAAGTGTTCAAAGAAACCAAGGCTTAAGTGATACCTATTCCGTTAATTTGAACGTTAGTTTGTTAAATTTTCTGTCATTTTGTTATTGTTAAGTCATGTAATTTGATTTTTTGACTATTTTACAGTTTATAAAATCGATAGTTTTTATTGAAAAGTAATCTACAAAACAAGAAAGACAAATTATCATGTGGAATGGTTTCTATAAAATTTCGATTGTATTACTTTTTAGTTGAATTAAAAATAAATATATTTTTATATATATGATTTATTTTAAACATTTTGTATTAGGATACGGACCCGAAGCCGAACTCGAATCATATTTTGTTTGTCCCTGTATACTAAATAAGATTATTTAAAATTATAGCACACCTGAAACAAAATGTAGTGTTACTGTTTTTATGATGTACTCAGCCCCGGATCTTGAATTTTTTTGAGGCGGGGCAAAAACTGAAGAATGCCGCCCCCACCCGCAACTGATGGACATAGGCCTTCCCCAAAGAACCCCACAACTACCGGTATACCGTTGCTCTTTCTCTGTTAAGCCAATATTTTTTCGAAAAATACCAGGATATGTCGGACTCGGACATATATTTTAATTAGGTTAAGGACAGGATAGGGTCTGAAAAAAGCATGAGGTTAAAATTATTATTATATTATACATTAAAATTATAATTTTACTCTTCGAGCCTTTTGTTCTGCAAACAAATCTATGGCTTTATCATAATTAATTTGATGAGCAATTTGATTTTCTATTGCTAATATGGCAAGACTTGATAAACGTTCCTGGCTCATCGAAGATCGTAGATAATTTTTGATGTTTAAGTTGGCTAAAACTTCGCTCGCAGCTTGCGGATGTAGTAGGAAGCGTACAGTAATTTCTTAGAGCAATACAAATATTGGGAAAGGCATCCTGCAAATCATGCGTATAAATCTGTTGCAAAAGATTGAAAGCGCAAACATTTTTTATATCTACAAATAAAAGTGGAGTTCCTGGCAGAATTCAACCGCGTTTAAATCTCGCTCGTATTTTCGTCCCATCCTTTTGCAGTTCTTCATTTGAAATATTCAAAATTTCAGCACCATTTAGAAATGCGAAATTCGAATTCAACGTGGTAGCACTATCAACCCTCTTTTTAATTTCTGATAAAATTCTATCAAATACCATTGTTGCTTGAGAAAAAAGTTGAACTGGTTGAAGTGTTGGTGATTCGCCATCACACATCTCGTCAAATTGTTTTTTGCACCTCGGAATTCGTTTATTTGGGAAAATAGGTTCGACGCCAATTTCTTCATCAAATTCTTCTATCCAATATTTAATTGAATTTTCTCTCATTTTTTCTAAAGTTTTCATCAGGCCATTCATTAAAGAGTCTTTTGAATTTCAATATTCACTCGATTGATTTCGCGGAGAATATTTGCCCAAATCGTCAAGTTCAATATAAATTTAAAATTCTTTATTGTATTTAAGAGACTATCTGGCTCGTACTTTGCTTCCGAAGCATGAGAAGTTTGCTTAAATTCTTGCAAGGATTCCACCACTTCCGGCAAATTATTTAAGAGGGCTTTCACAGCAACATGTTTTGCCGACCATCTCGTCTGACTGCTTTCTTTTAAATTGGTTTTAACAAGATTTAAGGAGTGAGCCAAACACGGTACGAACTCGGTCAGCTCATTCCTTTCTGTAATCCTGGCTTGCACTCCATTATAGGTGCCAGCCATATTTGATCCATTATCATAAGATTGGCCACGACATTGTCTGATGTCTAAACCACCAAGTGTTTCCTTTTCCATTATCTGTTGACAAATGTGCTCTCCTGTGTTTCCAGCAATTTCTATAAAGTCAATGAAACTTTCTTTTATTTCACACACATCACCTTTTTTTACATAGCGAATGACCTAGCTCATTTGTACTGTATGCGACACATCTGGAGTGCAATCGAATATTATTGTATAGTATTTGGCTTCTTTAATATCGTTTAGAATGCTATTTCTGACTGTATTTGCAATTATGTCAATAATTTCATTCTGTATTGTTTTTGACAAATATGATACTTGTCCCTTTTTTAAGTTTTCTAATTGAAACTTAAGAGTTGAATTATGTTTGGAGAGAAGCAAAATAAAATTCAAGAAATTTCCTTGACTAGGCTGAGGATCTTGTGTGATGAGATCGCTAAGGGTTTCGTGGAAACATTTTGTTGCTAGATATAATACAGCATCCATAACCACATGCAGGATCTGTTTCCATTTTTCTGTTTCGGTTTGAATTACTCGCTCAATGATCAATATGATCAGACCCTGGCATGATTTAATTTGTAGAACTCGAGTTTTCCACTTAGTCATACACTTTTTGTACATTTGAGATGCCTCGTGCTCGGTTAATCTCTCATAAGCTTTTTTCCAATTAATAAATCCTGTAGTACCCAATGCAGATGTACCGGAAGAGGAAGAATTCTGAAAAATCTTGCAGCATGCACAAAAAATTGCATTTTTTGTTTTAAAATATACAAGCCAAGGTCTTTTAAGCTTTTCGTCATTGGCCAATGTTTTGTACCACATAGCAGATGTTAAATGTCTACCATCGCTTTCAGTTGATTTAAATCCAATGTTTTCTGGATAACTTTCTGCTAATAACAATAACACAGCTTGAGTAGTAAAGAGAGATCGTTGCTGGTCGGTCATTTTTTCAATGTCTGGCCAATTGCCCAGGTCTGTCAAATCAATTTCGGTTTTCCATTCATTCGAATCCGAGTAATTCGATTCAGATTCTCTGTATTCTGTCTCAATTATTTCAAATTGTTCTTACACTCTCGCAGTTTGGCTAGACGATGCAGGTGATAAATTTTAATCATCAGGATCGTGCAAAGTGCAAGAAATATCCTCTAGTTGAACATCTTCGCAAGCTGTGGCAGGTACTGACGAGCCACCGCCTCCGCTAAGCCACTTTTTCATCTTTTCGCACATCGTTTTCTCTGAAGGACTCTATCTTTGGCCTTTTTTCTATATTCCGCTCCTGATATATATATATATATATAGAATATAGAAAAAAGGCTCCTTATATATATATATATATATATATATATATATATATATATATATATATATCAGGAGCGGAATATAGAAAAAAGGCCAAAGATAGAGTCCTTCAGAGAAAACGATGTGCGAAAAGATGAAAAAGTGGCTTAGCGGAGGCGGAGGCTATATATATATATTTAGTTGTAAATTTTTATCAAGCTAATTAGTTCATAGTATAAACTTACCATATCTTAGCAATACATTGAACTTGTCTAACTATTTCAAGCATCAAGCATTGAATACTTTGTAAAATATTTGATTACGAATCACATTGTTCGCCGAAAATATGCATATTTAAGGTCTATATAAAATTAGTAAATCTAATATTATAACATATAGGGGTACTAATAATCTAGAATTACCTCATGTTTTAATAGTCCATATTGAGATTATTCAACTTTTAAAACAATTAATAATTTATAAAATATTTGTGACATTTAACTTTAAAACATAACCTCACTATCTACCACATAGCAAGACAACCAGGTTAAAATAAAAAGAAGACAATCAGACTGTCCCGGTCCTAGTATTCATCATAAATAAATTAAGCCACGTAAAAAGGTAATCGATTAGTTTTTATTGTAATCATCCCCTTAAGTACCCAACCCCTGAGAAATAATCAAAATCGCCTTATTATAGGTCAGATACAATTATAATATTTTTTTATCATATTTTAATTTAAAACCCTCTACTTGTTTATCAGACTGCCTGGTTCTGGGTCCATATACTCCTATTCCAGTTCCATTTATGATTTTGAAGTCTTCATTTGGAGTTGGCGTCGCATCTAAGAAGTAATGACAGATTTCTTCTTTGGCAGTACTCCACTAGCCTCGATACTTTCGGCGAAGTAACTGAAAGCTATTACTATATCTTGCCGCCTCATCCCAAATTTGAGGTATGCTCGAATTGGAAAGAGAAAACGCGTCATGAATTCTGAAAGACAAAAATATTTATTATTTCTTACCATAATGCATGTTCTGGGTACTTCATCACTAGTGTGATAAATTACCCTTGCATCTTTACATGCACAATTTCTTATCTAGTTTCCGTAAGTACACGATTTCTGGATCAGTACAATCCCTAATTGGTCTTAAGTGAATGTACTGGAGATCACCGCCGATGCTCCCTTGGCGTGATGGACATTCACTTAGGTGATGTTAATGTCCGACATTTTAATTCTCATCGATGAGGGTGTTATCCCCACTGATGAGGGTGTGTTCCATGCCCCCTTCTTCTGTTTTTTCTTCTTCTTCGATTATTACATCCGCAGATGAGTCTGTGTCTCAATGCTTTCTGTGTTCTCATCGTTGGATGTACCTCTTTCTTACGTCCTTCCAGTTCTTCTGCCTCAACCTTCCTTTAGAGATCATGTACGGAAATTTTCCCGAACCGACAATGGACACCCTATTCTCAACATAACCTAACATACCTATAGAAGTTTATAATGGTCCACCTTGTACACGCTGAAAATTTCAATTTGTGACTAGTTAGGTATGCTATAATAAATCTAAATTATATTTCAGGTTACTATGCTGATCATCTCTCTGCCGCACCGGAATTTAAAGCAAACTTTACAGTCCGAGCAAAAAATGAAACCAAAAGTTTTCACCTAAATAATCTTTCTTACGCTGGACCTATTGTTATGGGAGTTGGGGGTGAGTAAATCATACATTACGTTCGTAAAATATCGTTTCAACTTTGTTGTGGTAGGTAACTAGTTTAAGAGAGTTTTTTAATTTATAGTTTCTGTATGAAATCGTCCAGAACATATTGTACGATCATTAAAGAACATTTGTTTCTTAATGACTTGTTACTGTATCACTATATAATCACTTTGTATTTTTTGATATTTTAATTAATGGACGTTTCAGTATATAGGAGCTGGGGTTTACTATGCGAACTTAGGGAACACCATTAGTCTAAATTTATGGTCACTAGGAACTACAATAAATGCTTGTGATCAGATCATGCTAAATTATTTTACTTAGAGATAAGAAAGTCTTTATTATAATAGATAGTTAGCCAGTCCTTAACGCACAGCATAGGATAAAAATAAAATCCAAATTAATATTAAACTGCCTACTGTCTGTCCAGGTCATAGGATAACACACTAATTGTAAGATTACTCTTGAGTATGGGTGCCGGGATATGAGGAAGTGTTAGAAAACGAGAAAGCCAGGAAGGGAATTGAACTTTCTGGACTCAGGCAGTTCATAATATTTATCGGGTTTAGAATATTTATAGAGTTAAGAATATTTATAGAGTTTAGAATATTTATAGAGTTGAAAATATTTATAGAGTTTAGAATATTTCTAGAGTTCAGTTCATAGAGTTCAGAATATTTATAGATTTTAGAATATGTATGTATATAGTTCAGAATATTTATTGAGTTCAGAATATTTATAGTCTGGTTTTGGAAGGTTTAAAACATTAATAGAGTTTAGAATATTTATATGGTTCAGAATATTGATATATTTCAGAATATTTATTGAGTTGAGAATATTTATACACTTCAGAATGTTGATAGAAGATCTAGCCAAGATCAGACAAAATCTTAGCAGGAAAGAACTCAAAACCGTAATATGACTTTTTGCGAAACATTGTGAACTTATCAGTCATTAAAGATATTTTACGGATGTCTGACGATTTCCTGTGTTTTCTACAATTGAAAAGGAGAACAAATATGCCACTGTCGGAACCTTAAGTGGGAACGGCAATAAAACTTATGTGGTACAATATCCAAAATCCAAAGAAAACACCAAAGGCCCTACAGACTTATACTTGAATACATAAAGAATATTAGCCTGATAGAGTAGAAATTTAGATTTGGACCCTAATTCAAATAAATGTATTTAATTATTATTCCTCGTGTACCGTTATATTTTCAACTGGTTAACTAAAAACTTCTACACGCAATTATTTATCTGTTTATGTTTACTGTTTAATACTTTCGTTTTATTTGCATAAATGCAGCGTTTCTCAAACTGTCGGGCACGCCCCCCTAGGGGGCTCCAGAACTCTACGTGGCCAGCACATCAAAATGAAAAGAAAAAGATAATTACTAATAAAAAAATTAATTCACAGAAAGAAAAACAAAATGATATTTATTCTGACATTACAAAAAAATTAAGTAAGTACAGTACACTTTTAAAATAATATAATATTTAATTATTATTATAAATATGATTATATCAGTAGGTACTGTCAAGTGCTAAATAAAACTAATAATAAATTCATCAGTTCTAAATTAAAAGTAGCTTTAATAATTATTAGTGATTCCCTTGGGCTTCTCTCGCCCAGCAAACTTTTTCAAAAAGGTTTTATATTACAAATAGTCACTTTCAGTTCTTTGTCTATATTCAGTCGAGACCTATATTTTGTCTTTAAAGTAGCCACCGCAGAAAATCTGGATTCGCAAAGGTAAATTGTTAAAAATGGCAATAATATATGAACGAAATGCTCTTGTTTTCAATGGAGAAAAGGCATCATTCACACCCGCTCAAAATTCAAAGAGAGATTTATTACTAAATTCTCTCTTGATTTCGCTGCTTGCAGTAAAGTCGATGATGATGACTTCATCTGCAGTTGAGATACCTTCGGAAGTAGTTTAAAAATAGATACCTAACCCACTTGCTACCAATTTGTCGTCAGCAAGAACATGATTTTTTTAAATTCTGTGCCAACATGGCTAAATGACTTTCTATTGTTACAAAAACAACTTTCACGTACTGTTTTTCTTACTTGTATGTTTTAATACACTCATTCACATTTGCAAACATTTCTAGTTTTTTGTTTTACATTTTTGCTTTACAACTTTCTACAAAAACCACTCACTTTGGTAACACTGCTATCCAACATATGTAGGGTTGCCAAACGTGACGCTTTTGGCGTATTTTCCACGCTTTTTGACTTGCTTGTACGCTCAACTCCACAGTAATGTCCCTCTTTTGATAAAAATGCCACTCTTTTTGTGTAAATACCACGCTTTTTAATATTCAAAGTCGTAAATAAAAAGGAGGAACTGGATTTATCGAAAAATATAGTGAATACTAAAAGGACACTCATTTTACGAACAATACAAGACTTTTTTTGTTTTATTTTTAATTTTCACAATTTATGGATCTAATTATATAAAAATGTTTGGTATTTGAACCTGATGCTCTGTCAACACGGTCGTCATGCTTTTTACTTTCGTAAATCTGGCAATCCTAAACATATGTGTGTTTGCTCCTTGGGGTTTTAGATTTAAGGTATTTAATTTCTCGAATATGTCGACCAAATAATTTCAATTTTATCACAAACAAAGCATCTCAAAACTTTTCGGCTCAAAAACGCGTTGAAAAAATTTCCCACTCGATAGCCACCTGGGCTCGCAATAAAATAGCAACGTCGAATATTCTACACCCACATCTTCGGAAGTGCAAAGATTCTTGATTTTAGGGGTCTCATTTTTATATAATTCAATACAGTTACAACCGTCGTTAGCACAATGTTAAGACCAGGACTCATTTCTTTGAAAGCCAGAGCCTCTCTGTAGATCATGCAATGGGTCCAGACACATTGTGGAGATTTTCAACCGACTTCAAAAATCGAGGAGGTTCTCATTTCGTCGGAATATTTTTTTTATGTATGTTCAGCGTTAATTCTTTACCACATTGTCCGATTTCAATGATTCTTTTTTGTTAGAAGGGGGGTACCTCAGTGGTGGTCCCATATAAATTTGGTCAAGGCCTCGTGATGGCATCTGCACGATTTTGAAGTCGGTTTTTTAAAATTACTTTCATAACTTGTTGTTTCACAAGAGGGCTTGTACATTTTGGAATCTTCCAGACACTGTACGAACACCATTGGTGCATATTCCAACGCAATTCTTTCACTCTATATTTGCCTCAATAATAAAATTGTTTAAAATATCAAACAAAGCGAGTGATGTTGCTTTGAATTCTATAGGTTTGCAGAAAAAGAGTCCTTCTACTGCCGATATACCATCACAAAATCGGACATAAGCAATTAAATGAGCGTCTTTATTACTATCTGTTGCCTCGTCAAGCTGAATCGAAAAAAGTTAGTCACACAACTTTACAAGAATCTTCGACTATATCACCAATTCGACAGAAAACAGTATCATTTGAAAGATTGCAATTGTTTGGCAAAATTATCTCCAAACATAGTTTCTACAATCTCATCACAGATGGCAGAATAAGATCTTCACCAATGGTGAGAACCTTTTAACATCTGGCTATTTTATATGATGCTTTGTAAGCGGCAAGTAAAGCTTTTTCGTTCACAAAGTTTTTTTAAAGAACAATGTTTGCTCTTCATATGACTTTAATTTTAATTCACAGAATTCTTAGGACTTGCTAACGTACTCACTATGAAATATTTCCAAATGGCGTCTAAGTTTATTAGGTGTCATGCTGTCTGCTGCCAAAATTTTTAAACAAATGACGCACATAGATCTTTCTTCTTCATTTATTTTAGTAGTGGTAAATCCAAAATTTAGGTATTCTTGCGAATATTTTCTTGATTTTATCTTCGAAATCATGGTCAACTGTGTACTTGTTGATGCTTTACTATTGTCTAATACTCGCTTACGTCCAGTTAAAATCTATCCATATTTCTGTATAATTTTTCTCCCATAACATTTACGTTAATATCTTATAGGGAAATACGGTACAGTTACACAAAATTTGTCACCGCGACTCGACTAAAACTGACCGGAACCTCTAACACCCGCTCGGCTGTCGAGCAGATCTTCCATACTATTCCAAACAAATCGAAACCACGGTCGAAACGCCACCATATTCGATATCCGTCATAAATGACTGAGAGCAGATGAGAAACATTGATTCTGGCTTCACGCTTTACCTATATTATGGGATCTAGAGGAGCGGCATTGCCAAGTTTCAATAAATTCAGCTATTCTCGGTAATTTTAAAGGTCTGTAATTAAATTCTATATTAGGGCTCTAGGACAAGAATATAGGGTCTAGGGCACTAACAATACGTTGTACTAAGGGGATTAGAGTCAAAATTTTCAACCTATAATATACGTCGTATTTTATTATTATACGAAAAAGAAAGGTATGGGAGCGGTATAAAAATTGGTATTGAAAATTGGGTCGCGATACATAACGGTAGAGAAACGCTGCATTAATGTCCAAGTGAAACTATGCTAAATTTTCTGTTAGATTATAATATTTTTTACTTTAATTATATTTTGTAGGTTTCATAGTTGTCGCAGCTTGCGTAATGACCTTCGAAGCCCGCGATTCCGCAGCGAAAGTAGTACCTGCTAGGTTCAAACTCAGCACTACGGGACCCGGTCCTCCCAGCATCTGCGGTCATGGCAGCTGCAGTAGCAGACACAGTTCTCTGAAGACGTCTGCTGTGCAGGTACAGACAATGGCGCAGCATCCGCACCAGCACACGCATCAACGCGCACACTGTCATTCAGCCTCTGCAGATAGAAGGGCGTTGACACAATCGTTTTTACATTTTTCTAGGGGCCTTGCGTTAGACACGCAACAGAATAAGAATTTGCTCAAAATTCCACAGGTAAGTTTACGCATTTAAATGTACGTCAACCGTACCTTTCCCTCCAAAGGTTAATGCAAATACTGAAATTTAGTTTTATGTATTGGAATCTCGGTAAATTTAAGAGTTATAAGGTTGGTTGTATAAGAAAAGTTTTACAAAATTTTTACAAAATTTTAAGAAGGCAACACAACATACACATAACAAAAGCTTGGCTAACGGTGCCTGTCAAATAGCGTAAACAATACTTTGACGAGAGCCACACAAGTAGTTTAAAAAAAATGTAATTGTTTAGAAAGAAATTGAAAGACATTGAACATTTTAATTAGTTTTACGATATCCCTAATATTCATAAACGACCATAAGTCACTTAGTGATACAGTATCATTTGTTTTTCTAGGTCGACATAGATTAGATAAATGGTTTTTGTTCCCTTTAGACTTTATCATTTTTAGGTATTTTATTTATAATCGCTTCAATAATCCTCAAGCGTATATAATATTTTATTGTAAATGAATTATTAAATATAAGCACATAAGTTTCAAAAACTACTATTCCTTTCCTTCCAGGGTTCTATTAATAGAAGTCCATCCGCTCCTGATCTCGTTCTAGAACGTTCTGGTAAAACCGAACAACCTCCTTCACCTCAACAAGTGCGAACTCCTTTACCTCTGAAGGCTAACCCGAAGCCTAAAACATTTGCTGCTTGTGCGTTGCTCAATCCAGGGTTATTACACAGACATGCTATATCTGTAGATGAAACTGCTGGAAATTATAGGTAAGGCACGTCTGCAAAATTGTTGAATGCAAAATCTAATTAGTCATAATTTGATTCAAATAATACAAGGAGTTATCCTAACTCCTTTGGAAACCGATTTTTTTAATTTTTATTTTAAAATTTTATTTATTTCAGATTAAGTAATGAATCCTTACATCTATGCGGTAGTCAAGAAGGATCAATGGCAATGGATTTGCATTTAGAATATCCTGTAACTTTGCGTGTAAAAGACAGACGGAGGCCTTTGAAAAGACAGAGAAGAGTTGAAGAAGAAAAAGAGATGAATCATGCTCACGATGGTGGTATAAGAAGAAGTTCGCATACTTGTTCTGTTAAATTACCATCCACACATAACTTAGGAGATATTTCTAAAAAAGGTAAGATAACGATATTAAAAAATTCCATCAGAAATAATCATGCCTCTAATCCTTACATCAAGCACATGTAAGTGTCTATAGACAGTTTGGTTCGAACACTTTTAGACTGAGAGCTAGCGGCCGCAAGGTGGTGCAATGATACCTCCGGCAGGAATTTTGTGTAAATGCCGCGACCATCAGGAAGTGTCATCTGCAAGGATTTAGTTTGAAGCCACTGCGAATGAGTCGTCAGACAACTCAACTATATGTAGTACTTTTTTTTAATATAATTGGTCATTAAAAATTGACAAATTGAATCTGTTGCATTTCATTCTATCAGCTGAAGTGTAAAATCTTGGTATATTAGAAATGTATAGCATAGAACGTTTACGGACGTGTTGTTGAGTATGATATTCACTCAGGTCAAACGTTTTTTAAATAATCTCACTAATTCACCCCTTTTTTTTCTCCTGGGCTCGTCTGACTATATCTCCGAATAACACTGAAGCTTATTGGCTTATTGTGTTTTACCCCATGTTAGTTCATAGCACCCACTCTGTCACCTTTGTACCTTGTACAAGTTTAAAGAGATCCTTGGGTAAGTGGGTTCTATACATTGTTGGATCAACCTGGGGTTGTCCAAAAAGAGCCTGTCTTTTGCGATCTAGAGCTTCGCATTTACACAGTATGAGTTTGGCCATTTCTGGTTTCTTGTGACATAGTCGGCACATGAGTTCCCCATTGTACATGCCAATTTTGTTCAAGTGTTCCTTTACTGGAGCGTGCCAAGTCATGAACCTTGTTATCACTTTCAACTGGTTCCTATTCATAAAGAGTAGTTCTCCAGTTCTTTTGTGACATGGTCTGCCTATAAAGGCTTTATGTGCCTGTTTTGGGGTACTTCCCCAATAGTTGATATATTTTTCCCGAATACAGTGGTTTATTAAACCCCGGACTGTATTTTTTGGTACTCCTGGGTTTGTGTCTGGTTCCGGTGTTTCTTCTGACACTCTTTCTGCAAGTTCGTCAGCCTTTTCGTTGCCTTCGATCCCTTGGTAACCTGGCACCCAAAATAGTTTTACTCTATTTCGGTCTGCCAAGGTTCTTAGTTCTTCGATGCATTTCCATACCAGCCTCAACGTAACTTTCTGACTCTATATGACTTTATGTGCCGCTTGGCTGTCTGAATATGCTGATTTTCGACAGCTCTTTCATTGTTAGTTTTTGCACATTGCAAAATTGCGTATACCTCGGCCTCAAATACCGAGGAATGTATTCCTATAGCATAGCTATAGTTAGAATCAGGGTTTTTTGGGAATACTCCCGCCACAGTGCCTTTCGCAGTCTTAGACCCGTCTGTATACAAGGTTTGTTTGTGTCGTTGTGCATTGGACTCCCTTATTGTGATCTCCGCTCTTTCCTGTAATAAAACCTCAAATGGAGTATTAAAAGAGTACCTCTTGGTTATGTGGTATGATCTCCTGTCTAGGGTGTCTCCTATCACTAACCTTGAGATACTCATGTGACCTGGCCTAATGTCTAAATTTTCCAGTGTATTCCCTAATCTGTAAGCACCTAATCTTGCCTCCCCTTGTATCACATAGTGAAGAGGTTGGAGTCCTATTAGTGCTTCTATTGCAGCAGTGGGGGTTGCTTTCATTGCCCCCGTTATTCCGAGGCAGGCAAGTCTTTGTACCTTGCTTAGCCTCGTTATTGCTTTCCTTTGCTGTGTCTTTGGCCACCACACCAAAGCTGCGTATGTTATTATCGGTCTCACCACCATATTATAAAGCCAATATACCATGTCTCGTTTTAACCCCCAAAGGATCGCCTTGCTATCATTAACGAGGTTTCCGCTCTCCTTGTGGTTCTTTCTAGATGCTGGTTCCAGGTAAGTCTCGAGTTAACCATAACCCCGAGATATTTTACCACCTCCTTAAGCTGGATGCGTGCACCTCTTAGGTTAAGAGGCCCTAGTACCTCCAATTTCCTCCTGCGGTTGAATGCAATTATGTCAGATTTGTTTGGGTTAATGTTTAGTCCTTCCGCCTTTGTCCATTTTGTTACTATATTTAGAGCCTCTTTAATTCAATCTCTTACTATAGTGTTGTATTTTCCCTGTACCATAATCACTAGTCACCTCCTTACAAGTGCATTTCAACCCCTGAAGCCAACTGGGCGACTTGTGTAGGGTAAAGGATGGCTGTTATATACCGTGGAGCTCCGGGCGACTTAAAGATGATTGATGGTGCCATTTGACTTATAGGTGAGGAAAACCCGGAAACCGCCTCTCACCATAATATAATCCATGAAATAAAATATTTTGAATGTTCAGTATCCTTTCAAAGACGTTCAATGGACGTCCATTGAACATGCATTGGTCATTGTTTAACGTCTATTGCGTGGATGTGCAAAGTCCAGAAAAAACTCATTTTTTGACGTCCAGACATTCAAAAATGTATATCAAATGAACGTCCAATGGACCTATTTGTACTGTGGCGCTAGCTCTTAGACTATTTGAAGGGACATTACGAATCATATAGATACAAATCAAAACTAATGTCGCATCCTTTTTCTCAAAAGGCCAAATGTAGTCTTTTTTTATTAATTTATTTGTCATAAATTTTTCTGGATAATACAAGATGATTTTAGAAATTCGCCATAATTGTATTTTCATTATTTTAGAAATATATAGTAGTTAAAGTAATAATAAACCAATTAATCAATCCAAAGTACCAACAAAAAATAAATAAAGTCAAACGTAGTTAAAACTGTAGGATGGTATCCTTGAGTCGTTAATGCAGCAATCATAAAGTAGAATATAAAATAGTAAGGAAGGATGGTTGCGCCAAGGTCAGTTGACTGGGATGGTTATTCAAGATGGCTGCTTGGCATAAGTATTTACCAGGGGTGTATCATATTTATATTGTTTGAAAGTGTAATATTTTTAATAGATTAAAAATCAGTAAAACAAACAAAGTTCTTAAAAGGATATAATTATATTTCAGGATTTTTATAATTTAACATTATTTTTAAAAATTTATTAAATTTCTACCAAGGCAATTATTTTGTTTGATGATATTGGATTAATGGAAATAAAATGTGTAATTGCAAAAGATTTCAATTTTGATGAATGTCTTAGATACAGTCTTGCTCAAAGGTTTTTTTAAATAGTCGTTCAACAATTTCTTTATTATTTTCAAAATTTTCCAAAACAACATTTTTTTCTTCCTCTCTGTTGTGTCCATACGGTATGCTGTTATATCCTTATTGAATTTTTCTCGATTTGATTCTTCTTTGGATTCGTCTTTTGAGCTTCATTTTACAAGGGTAATCAGGAGGGTTCTCTTCTGACTCTATAGAGTATGTACAACCTTGTTGACAAACAGAAGGTCCAGGAGAGCTAATTGTAGTAATAGTAGTAACTCTTCATCTAACATTTAACATTATTTTCTAGTAAGTTAAATGTAATGTGTAATTGTTGTTTGTAAGTGAGGATTTATGACTGTAAAATTTTATGTTATATAGTGATGGGAAAAAGCGTTATTTTTATTTAACAGTTACATTTGTTACTGTTATTTTTAAAGAACAGCTTAAAATAACAGGTTGTCATTATTTTTAACATCTAGTGGTTGAACTAGGAAACTACATAGTGAACGCCGTGCACCTACTTAAAATGAAATAACAATACTCGACCATCTCGATGTCGGCAGACTTGGAATGGTCCAGAGCACAATATATCCCCTGTAGTAGTGCATCTCACTTATTAAAGAGATAGCACTAACTTTGCGGTACTAAATGCGACTGGTCGCTCAACTAACTCGATATTCCGGTAAATTCAAATATAATTTTAAGGAGAAATTTAAATTTCCCCCCAAAATCGTAATTTCCAGCAGCGGAATGGCGGGAATTTTTAAATATATACATTTGGCAATAATAATTGAGAAGTATATTGCATGTTCCATTAAATCCAGGCGGTATTTTTATTTTGATAGCTAATAATAATACGATTCTTTTATTGTTAGCTATTACCATAAGAGCAGAGTTTGGAATAACAACATATTTAAAAGAACATGTAATATACTTTTCAATTTTACCTGAATCACTTATTTTTTACCTATACAGGTTAGATCTGAAAAAAATTGGCTCTGGTAAAAAAAAAATTGTATAAAATATTTTATTTGAAAAATTATAAAACCTATTTAATTTATTTTAAAGTCGAGGATAACTCTAGCCATATCCATTTTACTGAAAAAAAAAGACACTATATTAAATGAAATTAGGTATTAAGAGATGTTTGTGAAAATACAGTGTCGGCTATCGAATGTTTTATAATAAGTTTTGCTAATGTCCAAGTGGAAACTACAAAGAGTTAGCATTAGTGCGAGAAGGAATGGATAACTATGAACATCACCAGCCGGATACGTGGAGATGCATCGCACCATGTGCCTGTTCATATTACACAGCACACAAAGCAACATTAATGTTATTAGTTTCCTGAACGCACTAATTCTAACTCTTTAGCTTTCGCTTCGATGCTAGCCAAGCGCATTGGAAAGTATTGAATAGCCGATACTATATATAAATACTAAAATCAACAAGGGAAATAAATTTTTTTAATTTAAATGAACCCCTACGTCGAAAAAGGAGAAAAACTGAAAGAAAAATATTATACTTGAATTTTAAAAGCTGTTGCCGCTGAAAAACTATTATCTATGGCTTGTATAACAGCCATAGGACTCCCTCCTTGAATCGTGTCCATAGGAAAGCATAAGATCTTAGTTAAATTATAATATTAGAGGGTATTGACTGAAAAATATGCAAAATTATTACAAACTTACGTCAAAAGTGGCACCTACATTAAAAGAAGGGAAAACTGAAACATAAAGTTGTTATACATTAATTTTAAAGGCTTTTCCCACTGGAAAAGTATTATCTAGGGCGGGGACCCTTGGATGACAGTTCTAGCAATCCCTCCTTGAATCCTCTTTTTCTGAATTTGTTGTACATTTTGCTTTCCATATTAATCAGTAAGCACTTAATACAACACAATAAATGGGGGTTATGATTGACAACCTGTGTTATTTTTAACAGGTCTGTTATTTTATAAACACACAGAAATAACAAGCTGCTCATCATAACCCCGATAATCGCTGAAACAAAATTAATAGTAATAAATGGTATAAATTTCGTAGAAGAAAAAATCAAAAAATTATCATTTGTCAATAATGACACTTCACGCTTCGCTTGTTAAAAATTTCGTCTACAACCATTGAACGTGCCGATCTCAGACGTCTCAAAATTCAAAACGATACTAGCGCCATGTGGCTCTGTGTCTGGCCGCAGCGTAACTCAAAGCAATTTCTTGAATCCCAGTGACATTACTATAGGGGATATATTGTGGTCCAGAATCCAGCGCTAGTATGCCCAGAAACTTGAACGCATGCGACATTGAAACAACAGTAGTAAATAATACTTACCTAAATAACGATTGCTAGTAGCGTTATTAAAATAACGCCTGTTATTGTAAATGCGGCGGCGCGATCGACGGCAATGAATGGCATCTGGCATCGACCAACACGTTCTCGTTAAGTCGTTGTCGGCCATATTGTCTGGCTAATTTGAATCGGTTTAGCAAAAATGTGTTTTAAAACCAATTTTCAGCCTTTGAACATTTAAAAAAAATAATTGCCTACATTTTTACTTCAAGGCATAATCTTATGTTTGTTTTTAAAACCATAAATGATCAATCTACATAACTGTCTATATCATTGACCCTATAAAACCACCAGGCTTACAGTGTTGCTATATTATAACCTATCATGTGCCTATCAGTGGCATTTCAAACGGGCAGCCATTTTGTTTGGAATACCAAATTATGTCGTACTTTTTTAACTATGACTATTTCACTTCTCTTTCACTTGGGATTCAATATATCTTTACTGTAGAATACCGCTCAACAACCTTAAAATTATTGTACCTAAAATGTGTTGCTATTTTAAAGGCTGTCTAAAACCACGATACACTAATATTTGTCTGGTATTTAACAATTAATAAGGTATAATAGTTTTTTCAATTCAACCTATAAAAATGCTCTAAGTCTATTTCTTTTTTATTTTACAGGTGGTTCAGCTCATCAGTTACCCACCCACTACTCCCACTGCCCGGTTGCCGCTGCTGCTGCAGCCGCTGCAACTGCTCACACCGCGTCGACTAGACGAAGAAGTTCGAACGCTTCTGATATTGGAGCAAGAAGACACAGAAAAAGTGACTACAGCCACAGAAGGGGTCAACTAGAAAGAGCTATTAGTCAAGATTCGAGACTTACTGGTATGTACAAAAAAAAATTAAAAAAGTGTTCTTGCATCTTTTCAAACAGGAGCAAGTTTTTCATATACGGTACACGAAAGATAAGGTTAGCCGTGTTCCGAAATATAGAAGCTCTTAAAGAAAAAAATCTTCAGTTAATCGTTTGAAAATTGACGTCATTAAAATCATAGTTTGTTGATAGTGGCATGTCACAAAATAGCACCGTACTTACTATACAATTTGAATCACTCATAGTGTTTGGTGAATATTGTTAAATTATAAGAATAAGGATAATTTCCTGACCGTAGTAGAATTTTATATAAATCAAAATTTCCTGGTTTATTTGGTAAAATAAGGTTTATTTTCTACAATTTAAGCACAATAGGCCAGTCAATGAAGACATTCTATTTTGAATATTTAACAATTATTACAAAAGTTTTCTAACTTTTAAATAATAATCGGCTAGTTTAAATCACTAAGTTTAAATTTTCAACCACTTCCAAGGTCCGGAACTAGTTAATTTATAGCAAAATGGCGCTTTGTTCATAAAGTTGAGAAAAAAATTGACTACTTGAAGCAATATGTTGTATTATTTTCAACATTATATCAAATTTGCAACTTTTTTGAAAGTCCAGAACATGATTTTTTTTGTAAAAAGCGTTTTTGTTTATATCATAGAGAAAAAATTGCAAAAGTACTGCAAACCGATGACATAACTCACAAGTTTTTGGAATAGCTATTCCAATTTTCAACCTTTGTAACGTGATACTTGATATTTTATCTATTTGTTATAATGTGTTTGAGCTCAATTGATTGGGCGTGGGTTAGGTTATTAAATAACTCGAATAACTTTGAAAAAGAAGATGGGCACCACTATATTTAAAGCTTACTACGCTTGACTTCAGATTAGTGATAAAAATATAGAAAATCACTAACCACTAACAAATTATATTTAAACCATGCTTTAGATAAGGTAGTAGCAAATTCTAATTCACATAGTTTTACTAAATTCAAATTTAAGATGATTTATTCAAAAGCACTTATCTGTTGTTAAAAGGAGGTAATATAAGGAATGTTTATCGCATGGTATATCTTCAGGCAACTTCTTCAAAGGGATTCTGGATCCTTATTCGCAACTCTGCAACTTAAATGATCTCGTGATATTTGGTATTCTAATTTAAACTAGAAACTGTCTAGATTTCTAGAGATGAATCAATCCACGGTTTTCAGATTGTAGCAAAACCAAAACAAAGTATAAAAACCATAAAACTTCTTGATAGGAATTCAAACCTTCTTGATATGAATTTAGAACGTTTTGCATTGCGAAATTAATAAAAAAGTGTCTAGGGCAAAAAAATATTCATAAGCAACCTTATACGTATCAAGCAAAATATTTAAATAATTTCTTGTTTTCGTTTTTTATCGAGTATACAGAGAATATTTATATTTACCCCACATAATTGGCCGACACGGTATAAACTAATACATAGAAGAGAAAACAATCAATATCGTAAATCGAGCCAAGAATGAGAAGTTAACCCAATACCGTTGTAAATAGGCCATGGGTTTCTTTTCATTAATTTTGTGACAGTGTTACTAATTGGGTTTACATATTTATGTTTTGATCCGAGTTTTTTTTTTCAATATCAGGAACAAAAATCTACATATAGTTTTGTCTAGAGTGACAGCCCTGATATTTGATTAAATACTTATTTTTTTTACCTATATATTTCTGATAACCGAAAATTGCAAATTAAGAAAAACTAAAATTTCTGTACGTTAACATCTACAACTATGGGTGCTCCTAAACAGTGTGCACATACGGAAGGGGGTAATTCTTTGGCTTATTTCATGACTAAAAGTTCATATAAACAAACATAGGTCCGCATACGCTTCGTTGCCGATCTACAGGATGTTGAAATTTCAAAATTTTTCTGGACTTTTCTTTAGAGTTCCTGCAGTTTTTAAGATATTTGGCTGAAATTTGGAATCTAGATTGGGTCATACATTATTTGGTATGTCAGATGGTTGTTGAATCTCATGGGTGATATTTTTTCAGGAGTCATTTTCCCTTTTCTCCCCCTGATCTTCTTTAGAATCTAAAATACAAAATTAATTTTCTATTGTATTTAGAAACTTTTTTTTAAGAAAAAACTATTTTCTGTAGAAATGATTTATTTTACAATACAAAACCTAAATAATTGATAGATCAAACGAACTTACCTGAAGTGAAGTTCGATCTCAATTATATGAGACGGCTTGTTCGAGATGATCATAGGTAGTACTCCCCCTTTTCCCGCTCTGTGGCCACGTATTTTAAAGTCTAAAAACCCTCAAAAGTATGTAGAAAGCTCCAAAATAACTGGTATCCCAGTCCTTCCCACCTCTGCTCTCGTCTCGTGACAGTCAAACACACTCTTGCGTCATTATTTTAAAGCGGTTATTGTGTTTGAATCTTGTAGAGATGATCTTGGGTATAGGTGTGTGGGTGAGTTCGATCATCTCTAAACAAGGCGTTTCATATAATTGAGATCGAACTTCACTTCAGGTAAGTTCGTTTGATCTATCAATTATATTCTACGCCTTGTTCTCAATGATCATAGGTAGATGTTTAAAGAAAAGATTAAACACAATTACCGAGAACATTTTTATTCTAAACCGAACGATTGAATCATTATCCGAACTGTTTGGGTATATGCTAAGTAGTTACTCTACTAGCATTATTTTATTGAAATAACCGACTTAATTCTAACGAATTTAAGTACGATGCAACATAACAAAATAAATACATACAACGAACATAACAAAACGGAAATTGCAAAGGCAAAATTATGTTGATCATTTATAAAAAGTCTTTTATAGAAATTCTTAACTAAATGACACTGTTTTCTTCTTTTTTTGTTCTTTTTTTTTTTCTTTTTTTTTTTCTTTTTTTTTTTTGGTGTATGTTTAAATGTGTCAATACTAATTCCCAATTTATTGACAGCATATGTAAAGGCATGTTGTTGTGTAAAATGCGACTTAAATACTGCGGTATCTACTCAATTATGTAGGCTAAATTTCAACCAACGGCTAATATATTGCAGGACGTTGTGACTTTTTATGCTTAGAAAATGGCCATTCATTACCCTCCTCCGTCCTTTCTAATTAGAACTCCAACACTTTAGATGCATATATTTTCTACTACCGTGCGTAAAGTACGTACTTTATGCACTCCACGAAGTGTGTAAAGTTGTACTTTTTTTCACTAGTGCGTAAAGTAAAACTCTTTACGCACTAGTTAAAAAAAGTAAAATTTGACAAAATTTGTACATAACAACAAAATATAACGTTTTATTTTATATTAACATTTTTTTACTATCTCCTTCTAAGACAAATAAATAAATTATTTTTGCTTATATCTATTTAGTGTCCAACAAATTATCAACAGTTTATTTTAATTATAATTTTCTCTAAATGTCATCGATTTAATTAAAAGGAAACATACAGTGAATGTCGATTTTGGTAAAAGTAAGTTGGCCGTGGCTGTGTGGATTAGAAGAACTGTCAATCTCTAAACTTTTAATTAGTACCTACCTTATAACAGAACACGACAAAAGTATACTTAAGTTCAAGATTAGATTCTAAAGCCAATTTAGCATTTTTTTAAACTCAATCAAGTTTGAGAAGGTAAAAAGTTTTACTTTTTAATGTTTGTTTACTTAAATTCAAATTTTATTTGCAGTTTATTATATCTGTCATAATCGATATGGATTCAAATTTATCTAGCGATAGCAAATTTGATAATACTTCCCCAGATATCTTATGCAGTGCACAAAAGGCCACTGAAAATTTATTGCCAGAAAAATCTGCATATATTTATCAGCAAAAATACAATGCATTTATAAAATGGTGTAGGAAGAATAAGGTGACAAAATATTCGTTATTTTAGCATATTTCTCTGATGAATTGAAGAATTGCAAAGCTTCTACCCTATGGTCGATTTATTATATGCTTAAAAGCACCTTAAAATATAAAAACAACGTTGTTATTTCGAAATTCGACAAGTTAATAGCGTTTCTCAAACAAAAAAATAAAGGTTATAAACCAAAAAAATCCAAAATTTTTAAACGAGAAGATCTAATTAATTTTCTGTTGAAAGCTCCAGATTCCAAGTTTTTAATGATCAAAGTAAGTAAATGCCTCAGTAAATGCTTGAATGCTCAGTATAAAATTAAAATATTCTGTAAAGTTTTGCAACGAGATGTGTGTTCGTATGGTGTGTTGCCTAACAAAATCAGTTGCTGTCCTAACAGGCCACCGGGGTTGTTAGGCAGCACATTATACCTAAAACTTTTATATTTTTTACAATAGCATTTATTTGGAGTTTTACATGCGCAACGTCAAGATATTTCCTAATGTTTAATAAATTATTTGTAACATTACAATATGTTATTTTTTAGGTAGCTTTTATAATTGAAATTGCGGGAGCTTGTTGCCGGGAAGAATTATGTAAAATGACAATTAACGATGTGAAAGATAAACAAACAGTGTATATTGTCAAAGTATCAGAAACCAAAAATGGAATAGAACGCATTTTTACGATTTTAAATCCAAATAATTCTGCAGTTGTGTGACAAGTCTCCTGATTCACCTACAGTGCTTCAGCGAGTCTGTGGCGCTATGAATGTAATTCCCGAATAGGGGTTGCTCAGGCGCCAGTTTTGATATCGCAGTTTGCTCTGCGGCCCTGGGGTGCACGTAGAGTACACCCTCAGTAGACTCAGTGGAGTCCAGGTACAAACAAAAAAATAAAACGGACAGACCTTCACTGTTAAGTTGACCTACACTGGGGTAGTAAAGTAAATAAAGTTTTTCACTGCACTTTTACCTATTAATCACTACGCCCTGAAAACGGAAAAAGCAAAGGCGTAATTCAAAATTAAACTCAGGAATTTCAATCAAAAATATATTTACAAAATAAATGAAATAAATAATAATTAAAAATAAAATAAACGGGGTGAAATCGGTATATATATATCTGTTTAATAACGGTAATAAAATAAATGCAGAACTATGTATGTTGATAAAATAAAAGGTCTCGGTATTTACAGAAAATGATATAACGGTAAAATTAACTATGACCTATACTATACTCATAAGAAAATAAAAATAACAATTTTCCCTTTTAAAAAAAATTAAAACGGTGGGCACTAACACCCTTAGCACAAATTCCTTGCTATTAATGAAAACGGCCGGTTTTAGCCATAAGAAAATCTACAATAGTAAAACTAAATATGATTCAAACTATACGTTTTAAAAATAAAAAAAAATTAATAAGCTACTCTCAGTAATAAAAAATATCGGAAATCGGCCAACGGTGGTGAACAGTATCACCCTCCACTCATGAGAGAAAAAAATGACGGATGCCTTTGTAAGAACGACGCCTAATATCCTCCCCGCAATATTATTTTACTAGGCACAATAGACCAAATAACGGGTGTCTTAAAGCGGTATTATTCGACCAATACTTTGAGAATTTTTATTTTATTTATTCGGTTTCAAATTTCTCTTATGTAGACATCTGGGAATCCATAACTTCTACAAAACAGAAACAACTGCGACTCTCGACAGGGATAGCAAGCGAATACCACTATCATCCCTTGGTTAACACGAAAATGGTTGAAGGGCACTAACGCCCCGGATTTAAATACAATTCGTTACCCTGACAGGTACTAAGAAATCAAAAATATCGGTCGAATAGCTCATGTAATTAATAGTACGGAAGTGAATGTTACAGGGAGAATTATTAGACGGAATTTTAAATAAAAAGGCCTACCTTAATTAACTTTTCACAAAAATCGCTTTCGGAAAAACGGCACTTCAACAAGACAACTTTTTCTATCGAACTGACGGTAGCAGCAGGAAAAGAGAGCTCCTTCATCGCAAACATTTAGTTTTATCAGAATTCGTACTTTTGCCGGAGTGGGGCGGTAGCCCCACCTAGAGGAAATAAATTGTTATTGCAAAAAAACGTTAATTGATCAACTTACTGATAAAACCTACTAGAATTGCAATTTTACAAGACGATTTACATTATTATGATATCGCAAAGTTTTAAACTACGAGGGCTCTTACAAATGTTTAAAAACGGTAATTCTACGGAAATATTAGTTACAGGGGGTCTTGCAAATGTTTAAAAACGGTAATTCTACGGAAATATTAGTTGCAAATGTTCATAGATGGAAATTAATTTTAGAAATTAATTTATGGAATAAATTAATGGAAATTTTAGTGACTTCGTCACAGTTGATTATTTATCTTTCATAAAAAAAATATACCTCATTAAGACCAGACCTTCAAATATAAATTGTAACAGATTTTTGTTTAAAATTCGCAAATTGAAAATATTCTAAACAGCCTGTAGGGATAAATACTTTTGGTAAAATGCCAAGTGTTATAGCAACGTATCTAAACTTGCCCAATCCAACGGCTTTTACAGGACACTGCTTTAGGAGGTCTTCAGCCACTATGCTGGCAAATTCTGGAGACCTTCTAACGGTCAAAAAACATGGAGGATGGAAATCATCTGCTGTTGCAGAAGGCTACGTAGACAGCACAATAATACAAAAAAACAAAATTTCTAATAAAATTTTGATGGATGACAGTATGCCATCCACTTCCAAACAAAGCTACAATTTTACCGTTGACAACTCTAATGAAGAATTAGTGGAACCACTAGACAGTGAAACTAGAGTTACACAAAATATTTCAACCTCTTTACTTGAAAAGGCCAAATCCATACCACTCGAAGCTCAAAATAGGGTTACAGAAGTAACATCACAACATTTTTCAAACTCTGTGCTGGAAAAGGCCAAAACCTTAAGTTTTGGTAATTGCAATAATTGCACATTCAATATTAATATTCATAAGAGTTAAAAACCTATTTTTTTAAATATTTCTTCATTTGTTAGTCATTTTGTTCTGTAAGAATTATAAATTTGTGAAGTTCCAATAAATTTATTTTTGTTGCTGTGTACAATTTTTGGCACATTTTACTTTTTTTCACTAGTGCGTAAAGTAAAGTACATTTTTTCACTAGTGAAAAAAAGTAACTTTTATATTTCTAATATTAGTGGATTATGTGTACGGTAGTAGAAAAAATATTGTATTCCATTCATATGTAAAGTCCTTTTTTTGACTCATGTGATTGTCGCACTCGCCTACGGCTCGTGCGACAACATTCACATTCGTCAAAAAAGGGTAACTTTACACACTTGTTGCATAAATAACTATTTTTGAATTCATCGATTTACAGTTAAGCCATTCAACTAAAGTCCTCATACATTTTAAAACTCTTTGAAATAAGTTATATTCCACCGTGCGTAATTTAACGAGGTTTTACTAGGAGGAAGTTAAGTAGATCCTTCTGGCGATTTTTTTTTTTCACTTCACCCTGTTCATCTCACCTCACTGCTCCCTCCCTCTTATTTTATAATTTTATATGAAATTATGTTAACTCTTCAAACCTCTCTCCAGAGAACGGTATATAACCAATGCTATTGATACAGCTGAACATACAGAATTAAGCATACTTACTATCCCACTACCGGTAGAGGTGTAAATATTATGCGTCCAATTACGGCAGGCGAGATGAGAACTACTCGTTTTATAATTACTTGGTACCTAGCCGTTAAATATTTTTCATTGGTTGTATCCATCTTTTTAGCATAGACAATTAAAGACTTTCTGTAAGTTTCAAAATAAACTAAAGGTTTTATATAGGATTTTTTTTTGTAAAACAAATTTAATGCCTATAAATTTAACTGCAAAATATTAACTAAATAAAAAGGTGAATTTAGAACACAATACCTGCAGATTTTATTGCAACTTCACTAGAAAATAATACAAGCAAATGATATTTTGAAAGACTCATGAAATTTAAATAAAAGAAGTTATGAGTCATAAGAGCCGATCAGTTCAAGACGAAAAAGAGGCTTACTATCATCAACGAACTCGTCTAAACAATGTTAGATATTCCATTTCAACAAAATAATCATGTCTTATTAAAGTTCTTCTTAGTAAACCCAACTCAATATCAAATGTATATAAATATAAATATTTTTTTTTAATAATTAATAATGATAAGCAAATTATTTACGTGTAACCACAGGTACGAAAAAAAAAAAAAAAGAATCACGCAAGATTGTGTTTGACTGTCACGAGACGGGAGCAAAGGTGGAAAGGACTGGGATGCCAGTTATTTTGGAGCTTCCTAAATACTTTTGAGGGTATTTAGACTTTAAAATACGTCGCCACAGAGCGGGAAAAGGGGGGTACTACCTATGATCATTGAGAACAAGACGTGGAATATAATAACTATTAAACTACATTACAACAAATGTTGAAAGTGACCCCCTCCTAACCTTATTTCATTCCACATTCGAGCTAAATATCTCAAAAACTGCAGGAGCTCTAAAGAAAAAACAAGAAAAATCTTAACATTTCAACACCCTGTAGATCGGTACACGCTTTTGCGGATCTATGTTTATATGAACTTTTAGTTATGAAATAAGACAAAGAATTACCCCCGTATGTGCACGATGTTTAGGAACACCCAGTGTAACAATAATATAACAACTATACAAGGTATTTTTTTAGTTTAACCTCAAATACCTGTTAGGGTCGATGCTCACGAATGTTTTTTAAGCGGTCGTGTCAACAACGTCACGTTGACGCAAACGCAATTTTTAATTCACACGCAGCGCTTCTTGTCTTCTGTCCCGGAACAAGCCAGAGTATATTCGTCTCAAGAACAGAAAAGATGGACGTAAGTTCAAAAAAAAGTTATATTTGTACCTATATCTTGTTTACAAACATTTTGTGAGGAAATACAGGAAATACTGGGTATATCCTTAATTAGGTTCCCGTTTACTAAAGGTTAAAAGGTGCTGTCATATTAAGCTTCTAACTCAAGAAATAATGATAGTATAATGAAAGTATAATTTTTTAAATTATGTTCGTATGATTATATTCTCGTTGATGAACTGAATGTAATGCTTAAATAAAACAAAATCATTTCAGAATGTTCCTTTATTTCTTTTATGAATAATTCTGTGTCGATTTGTTCATCGCCCATAGCTACTACAAAGAGTGAACAGTTATAGACAAACTGGTTATGATCAGATTACAATTGTTGCTAATGAGTTTGCAAAGAATGCACAGAATCAAATACTTCTTAACAAAAATTAGAAATATCTCATTAATTTCTATTGGCTGCCACTTTAGACTACACATTCCTAATTAACGAATTTGCTAAAGTTAAAATTATAAGGCTAAAAGTTTATATTTTCAAAATAAAAATTGTATTCCTATATTTTGTGCAATTTTTTTTAATCACAATCGAAGGTTATTTTAATGAAAATCATTTAAAGTGCGGCTATTATTGGGTACCATCCAAATGGTAGTACAATAAGCAAATGAGGCGGTAGTTCTGTCAAGCTTGAACCTCAGAGGAGGAGAGGCAGGGTGGAATCCATAAGTGCAGCCGCAATACATGTTCAGTCCGTTACTATTTTGTGAAATTTTTAATATTACCGTTTTATTTCAGGTGCTATTCCAAAATACTATCACCAACATCATTCCCCTCAGCGCACTCCTCAATATACTCCGGAGGTTAGTCCTCAGATAACACCGCAACCTACTCGGGCCCAGAATTCGCTTGATTTGGATCCTGGAGGGGGTCACACTGTTGATTCGGATGTACGATTGTCACAACACAGTGTATATTTTAGTAATAGCCCTCAAAAATGATAAAGTTTTGCTGAATGAACTTGGAATTTAAAGTGGTATTATTGAAAAGTTGATTATACATTTTTTTATTTATAAAAAATAAGTCAATATTTTAGGCAACTTTTTTATATCACTGTTACACATGTAAAATACTTGTTCAGGGTAAATATTTGTTCTAGAAATAGAACTGTTTCAAAATATCTTAATTATATAGATACCTACCGAGTGATTCAGATTTTTTGCCAAGCAAATATTTCAGTTATTTTGGAAAATTACGAGATTAATCTGAATTTACCATCAAGGGTGGCCTGAAGCCATTGTTTCATGGGTACTTTTACCTTTGCAGCGGAGCACTGAAATAGATTGTAATATCGAATAATTATTTTATGGTGATACAAAAATGGATCACACCAGTAGAAGTCAAATATGACGTATCACTAAATACGGTGTTTTCCGTTTGGCACTGGTAGTACGCATTGAGTATATTTGTATCTTTGTTTATCGATATGGAAAAGAAGAAAGTGAGAATACACTCAGAACGCACTGAACATTCCAATGGAAAACGCCATTAGAAACCGATGTATTCATGTGACATAATTTGTATGGAAAATAAAAACATAACATTCTGTCATTGATTTTGACATAATATAAGTACGTTTTAAGTTATTTAGTTTTTTAAACATTGTTTTTAGGACGCAAAAAAGGAGTTTAAAGGTATGTATTTTATTTTTAATGTAACTACTTCATTTTGGCATAATTTAAAATGAATACAATCTTAGATATATTAGAAATAAATAAATAAATATCTAACCTCTTTGTTATTTTTTATAGAATCGTTTACTAAAAGATTATTTAACTAAAATGCTATTTTCTTACATTAAGAATATATTTTAAAACCTAAACTCACTGAAATAAAATGATAACAAAACTAGATATTTAGTTCATAAACAACCGTGTTTGGCATACAAATTGAAAAATGTGACAGGTACTATTTAAAGTGAGGTTAGAATTTAATTAGTAGGTAACGATTTGATAGTTTCTTTATGAAAATATACTGTATAGTAAATCTAGATTACCTTCTATTTTTTTTTAATTTTCTATTAACTGAGATATTTGTCTGTTACACCCGGTATAAGACTGTTGTTAAAAGTAAAAAATAAAGTTTATCGGGTAAAACAATGTATTGTTGTTAAATAAAAAGGAATAAGATAAGACTAAAAATCGTTGAATGATAAAAATATAAAAAATGTTGAAGCCTAAATAGGAATTAGAAAAAAGATATAGGATAGATAGGATAAATTGCACTGCTCAAAACTTTTATTCATACATGCAATTTTTAAATTAGCGAACAACAAAAAAATATGTATATCAACTTTTCATTTTTAAGTTACTTTATCACAAAGACTTAAGCCAAAAATGACTATGGATAAAAACTGCAGTGTTTTTCTGAAAATATGAATACAGGGTTGTTCACTGACAGATGACAGGCAGGTGTGGGGTAAGGAGTGACGATATATCAGAAAAAAATTAAGTACTTACTCACCATATACTGTACATAATATGTATGTAATATCAACATAAATCCAAGAATAATATACACATTTGCCTAATTACATATTTATACATTTATCTGATGAGAGTTATGGCCTATATATCGCTACCTTGGAACAACAACGGCACAACTCAAAAAGTAGAGATTTCGAGATAAGACGTTTTAAAATTTTAAATAAAATTAATATATTTGCTTAAAAAATAACTTACTGATAACTTGTTCTGCGAAATTTGCAGTAGATACAGTTAACTTTAGCACGTGTAATTTTTTTTATAAATATTTAATTTTCAATTCAATTTCAATTTCAATTTATTTAGTAATACAGTAATTAGTCTACATTTTTTTCATTATATAATAGTACAAACTGTTAGGTGAGGAGCACGAAAACAAACTAAAAACCTAGGTGAAGTGCCTGTGTTGTCTTTTTGTTTATTTCCGGACCCCTTCTCAATTATGTATTAATTTAAAAATGATTGAAAATTAAATATATCAATAGAGAAAATAAATACAATTTATTAATAATGAAAGTGTAAATTAGAGCACTGAACATTGATTGGACCAAACTTTCTAGTTTTCTTTATTTGACTCTCTATAATAAGATGGTCACTATCTCCCTTGTTTTGACTATGCAAAACTATTTAATATTTTTTATTAATTATATTGATTTAAAGGATAATAAAATAGTGTTGTACATGGAAATTATATTTTTAATAAATGCACAATACAAGAATTACCTTTCCCCAAAGAAGGATTAGTGCGAGATCTGCCTCAAATTCATGAATTTAGGTCATGAAAAATAAAATCTTGTAGTGTCATAACTAAAAGAAAAATATTAGAAAATCTAATTATTTCAAACAAAACTGACACATCTAAAAATAATAAGTTATTTATAATATAGAAATAATGTGTTGATCTACTACTTTTTAGAAACAACTGTTGTAATTATAAATGTGACGGTTTTGTTCTAATGATCTGAATGAAAATTTGGCACCTTAATGTAACGGTTTTGAATAAATAATAACCTATACTATTCTAGACGACTAGCGAACAACTAAAAATCTAACAGTTTTGCTGTGAAGGAAGTTATCAATTTACATATTTCAAAACTGATGTTACTGCTTTCTAATGAATGGAATTGCCAATAATGTTTAAGGCACTCTTTCACATAAAAAATTAGTTTTGAGTTGTATGCATGAAAAAAAGTGCAAAATCAAAAAATTTTTAGTAGTGCCAGTTTTATTCCAACTTTCATCCATATATAATTATACAAACCTATAAAGTTCTGGCAAAACCAAACCTTCGGCCAAATTTTGTGTTGGAGTGAATAGTAAATGGCGTACGCATGTGCAGAAGAGAAAAGGATGTGATACCGACGTTACCAGTTACCAAATGGTACCGCTCTACTAACCTGTGACTCGGCCTGTAACTGGCAACATTCATAATAATATGTTGTTTCATTTAGGTCAGGTTTAGTTGAAAATGAGTAAGATAAGCCCATAGCCTTTTATTGCAATCCAGATTAATCTAGTGTGACTCTTGTCTAGCATATATTGCACCGTACAAGCCACGCCTTTTGATGAAGGTCATGGTTGAATTGGGTAAGATTTGTTTAAAAGCGGTGAATCCGAAAATCTGGAACCTAGTTATTTCCAATACGGAGCAGTTACATGGAATGTGATCAACGGATTTGTCTTCCACACTGCAGAATCGACAGTCCGACGTTTGTTGCATGTGATTCCCATGTGGTTACCTAGACAAAAATGTCCTGTCATTAATCGCTTGAAAATACGTATACCTTTCCTACTCCATCTCCTGTCTAAGCAGGGGTTTCCATAAAGAAGTTAAGTACAAATATCCTGAGAATGAGTTAGCACTGGGTTATCTCTCCAGTTCATGAGTGTTATCCATTTTAAGATTATTTCTTTGGCAGTGTTCTTTGAAATGGTCCTGGTCCAATGAACTTAGATTCGGTTCCTGTTTTTGGGAACACTTCGGCTTTTTCATTTACAAACACCTTTGAGTCAATTCGGTGGGAGCTTAGGGCCTCGAGGGCTGTTTACTACAATACAATACAAGTACGATCAAAGGGTTTGTGTATTACAACATTGAACACTGATATTTACTGAAAGTTTCATATTTTCAGAAATATACTGCAGTTTTTACGTTGTTTAATGTATAAATCTGAAACACTGAATCACGTTATTAATAAAATTTAAAAAAAATATTTATAAAAGTGACGACAGTATTGTATAACTAAACTATATTTATATTAATCGTTATTAATCTCAAAAAATGTTACGTTTCTAGTTTTATATGTGGCAACATTGCCTATAACTAGTCCTTCCTTCATAAGAATTACTATAATATAATTTGAACACGAACGGCATTTAATATTGCCTCTACCAATGACAGTATTTGGCGAAACACGTCAATTTACATATCAAGGGGGACAATTGTTAAGGCATTTGTTACTTTTAACCCTCTGACCTTTAGGGCACCTAATTCCAAAAATTTTAAATAACAACTCCTATTTATTTTACCATTTTTGCATTCCTTATGTAATTCTAGATAAATTGCATTATTATTATTATTTTCTGTCAAAACTGAAGTACCCAACCTCACAAATCTGTGAAATGTACTCAATATCTAAATTTAAATTCACCGCCTCACAGCACTTCATTTAAAAATTATTCTTTTATTAATTTACTCCACTACAAAACATGAAACAATTTAACTTTTTGTGCGTCTCCGAACAAACAGGACCTTTGTTTTGGTTCCGAAATTAGAACGGTTCAAGAATTTTATTTAGACTACGTAGAACAGGTTGCACAGTGACAAAAATAATAAAACTGATTCAGAATCGATTCAAGAAAGTATGAACCAAAACACTTTTGTTATTTTTCTTCTTTTTCGCATTTGTCATTACTATAGCCTTTTATTATTGAGGACAAAAAGTCAACAATTATTGTCAATTCTGTGAACTACATAAAATTATTGTTTGCGAAACTGTAATTTGCCATTCTTTTTGTTCTTAAAATTAACAAAGGGTTGTAAATGTTATATTTTATTTTATATGTATTCTTGACGATTCTTATACGTTTTTACTTATATCTTTTGTTCCATTCTTGTTTTTACTTATATCTTTTGTTCGATTACTGTTTTACTTATATATCTTTGGTTCGATTCTTGTTAGGTACTTTTTCTTATAACTTTGTCTTTTGTTTCCCATATTTTTTTAAAATATACAGTATGTCCCCCTAGCTTGGAATCATTTGGAAAACTTTTTTATTATTAATTTTAGGAAAAATAGTTATTCATAAAAAGTTCTGCATTATCTTAAACCTAGAATACAGTCATCAAATGTCAAATAGTACAACGAATACAATAATTGTTTGAAGAAAACTAGTGAATACAAAAGTTGCTCATGGTATTTTTTTATGGGTTTTTAGTTAGTTTTGAACTACATGAAGGATATATGAGGCGTAGTTTAAGTTTATCATCTTAAACAATTAATAAATATTTAAAGTTAGGACTGAAGTTATTCTTATGTTTCGTTTTTTTACTTAATTTTTTGCTGTCAATACCCTACATAAATTTGTTTGTAAACATATTGTTGTCATTTTTAATAAATCTATTACAACCGGAGAAATGGATTTTTGGAAAACATAATTCCTTGATCCAGTGGTATATCTTTCCTTGTTAAATGTCCCATAAATGTTCATGTATTAAGCTCAAAACCAAATTGTAGATAAATTATGTTACAACCATTTCATGTATGACATATTTACTTTAAAAAACTAATTCATTAAAATATAAAAGGATTCTAAATATTATCAAAACATTTTCATAAATCGACTATAAGGTTTTAGAGTCAGTGACAGTACTATTAACATAATTTTTTTAAATAAACCAATTTTTGAAATCTGCAAAATGTTTTCAATCTAAAATTACTAGATCCCAAAGAACAAATAAATATTTCCGGAACTATTAGAGATAATTGAACTAGGTCGAGTTTTTTATTCTTGAAACATATCACAAAAGATTATATTTTATGTATTTACCATGAATTTTGCTAATAGAAATAACATAAGAAATCACATACCTACTAAACTTGTAGCCATCAAAAAGTTTATTTGTAATCTATAATTCAAAAAACTTATTTTAATTATCTGTAATATATTTTGAAATATTTGGTATGGGAGTTTTTATAGTGAACCAAAATGCAATAGAATACCTAAATCAGTTGTTTAAATTTTTATGACAATGGTCGCTGCCTTAAAATTATAACTACTATTTCTAAAACTAAAGAATTACTCATATTTTTCAGTAACTAGCTATTTTCATGATGGAAAAATTTAAAGCATAAAAAGATTGGACTTGAGTTGATAAAATGTACACAAGTACATCAGTGTGTATAAATCTTTAATAAAATCAGGTGGATTTGATTTTAGAAAGCCATTATTGTAACC